GGTCTGACTTGAAAAATATCTACTTACTATTTTTTGGCAATGGTTTTACATCTTTCTGGTTTTAACTACTCGAACGTATAATGATTTCTTGTGCTGTGAAAAGTTGGACACGATGTGGTATGGATAACACATGGTTGAGTGGTTATGTCTTGCAGGTCCTCGGCAATGATGAAAAGCGTTCAAGATTTGATAGAGGGGAAGACATTGAAGACATGGGCATGGGTGGTGGAGGTGGTTTCAACCCTTTTGGTGGCGGCGGACAGCAGTTTACCTTTACTTTTGACGGTGGATTTGGTGGTGGAGCAGGAGGTGGCTATCCTGGTGGGTTTGAATTCCATTTCTGATTTCAGCAAAAACATCGATTCCTCTTTTCTCTGATATTTTTATGATGATTAGAAAACATTGGCTATAAAAGGGAGGGGGGATCGAAATATTTATTTTCTGAAAAGTAGAAATACCTTAGGGGTTAGAGTTACATAATAGAGCCTTTTTAGTTTACAGAATTGCTCATTGAGCAAGATTTTGCAATGCGGAACTTTATTAATTAAGGAAGAAAATGTTGAGATTATCTCAGAGAAACACTATTATGGCCTTTTCTGATATTCATGTTACTCTAGAAAGCTTTTGAGAAGTCAGTTAAGGATAAGATCTCTTTTCTGGTCTAGCTTTTTTTGGAACATTCAACGGAAACTGACCAGTGTTGCTGTTTCCGGCCTGAGTACGAAGTGGGTTGCTGACGGTTTGAAATTGGGACATGGAAATGAAAGTAGGGAGGGCATGGAACTGAAGCAACTGAACTTTTTGCTGATCGGAGAGGGAATTGAGAGTGGCGGGTTGAGATTTGAGAAGGCATTGTCAGGGGGAGCAAAAACAGAGAGGCCTTGGTTGAAGTTGTTGAGCTGATTGTTGATTTGATCACTCTGTTGGGTGCTTTTTAGGAGCTTAATCAATGTTGTGAATTGGCCAGCCTTTTCTAGGACGGCGGCTGAGAGGATTGAGCTGAAATGGACTTGCAGAAGAAGAGGAAGGTGAGGAAGAAGAAGGAGATGATGAGAAAGAGGTTGTTCATAGTGAATGTGGGGAGGGAAAAAACAGAGGTGTTTTTGTTTGGGATTGTTCTGTTTTTTGAGGCATTGGAGATGGGATTTATAAGACAGGGAAATTGGTTTGGTGAAACGGGGATTTCAAAATGGGAAGTAATGGGTTGTTTTGTGAGAGGAAAGAGATGGGGCTTTGCTTGAGGAAGCCGAAAAACAGAGTATAAGGATGGAGGATTGTCCCTTTTTTTTCTTTCTTTATTTTTCTTTTTTTGTAGTGAGTGAACAAGTCTATTTTTGAGTTCTCTTTCGAGCACAGAAGAGAGATTTGACAATGCTAGATGTTCCATAAACAGAAAAAAGTCAAAACATTAAGTTGTCGTTGTCGGCACCTCTTGTCTTGAATGATTTCTCTTATGTGTAAGATGGGTAGAGCATTTCATCTCTTTTCTCAAAGTGGTGGATTGAACTTCCGACCATGTCACAAGAGTGAATTTGGTTTTTTCTATCGTTCTGCGAACCTGATAGTCAACGAGAGTAGGATCAATTTCGGTCTCCCTTCTTAAAAGGGACAAGTTTTTAGAAAGCTTAAGGCTCATTTTGTGTCACTCACTTTAAAGATCAGAGTGTTATATTATGATTAAGGATTTTAGCTTAGTTTGAATTATTATAATGAATTTAGTAAAAATAAGGTGAATATTTCGATGATAAAACCCTTCAAATCAGATTATTTCACCTCAAAAAAGGTTTATAAAACCTTGTTATTTTATTTTATTATATTATATATTCTTTTTCAATTGGGAGAGGGCAAGTCCTCTAAATTGTGCTAAATTAAGCATTGGAGTTGGTAGAGCAAACACACAACAATGTGCAAATTTTTCTTATTCTATGTATTTCTCCCACAATCAAATTTTATATCACATGAACGTTAAATATATTATTCTATTCGCCAGGTTCAAAGACGAGTAAGAATAGTGGAATAAAAAAAAAAAAAGTTAGATGAAGTTCATCCGAAAGTGAGACAATACTCTTTCAATCGTTGCAATATTGTCCTTAACTTTTGATAAATGTTTCAAAACTAAGTATAAAAACAAAACTAAGTATAAAAACTCAGAGAATGAGAATGTTGAATTAAACGTCGATATATCTAAATATTATTCATTCCCGACTTAATCCATTTAGTATTAATTATTATTATTTTAAAATTTTGGGTAGTGATGGAGCTAAGATTGCATATAGCCATCCAAAAGTGACCAAATATGTAAGAAGTCAAAAGACCAAAGTACTCTTTTCCAAAAGTTGATTGGGTCACACCAAAATATCAAATACATTTGCCTACCCCACACCTCATCAACTTTCAAATTTTCAAACAAACCCTTCTATTCTCTTCTTTTTACTCTAAAACCCCTACAAAATTTACAAAAAGCCCCCTCCTTTCTCCCAAAGTTCACGATCAAAATACTGAAAAATCTAGTATTTAAAAATTATATTTATTTTCTCATTATTTTCTGCAATAAAATTCTTAAGAAAATATAACAAATCAAGTAAAAGCAGTATTTATAGGGTTAATTTTAAAAAAATTAATTATGAATTTCTTACATTTTTTTTAAATAATAATCACACTATCTAGATTATTAATTCTTTCCATTATTTTAATCGACCAGATTAATCATAGTATCGTATAGTTCAATAACTGACTATCCAAACATAATTTAATAAATCAAATATTAATTATTATCTTAAAAGTTAAATCTACGACAAATTTTTGTACATTCAAACACAATATAATTTAAAGTTTTAAATTCGGAAAGAAAATAATATTTCTAGAAGAAAGGATAAAAGAATGTAAAAGAAAAAAAGTTTGAATTTTTCTCTGTGGAAAGTCAAAGGCAATAAAGTTTAAAATTTAAATAAAAATTAAAAAATATCACACGTGCATGTTCATTCAATAATTCACACGTGGCAGACTTTTACGCTGTTTTAAAACTTTGAATTTCAAATAAAAAAATTATTGTTTTTTTTTTCCATAAAAAAGCATGCAATTTTTTTTTAGGAACTAAAAATTGCATGAAAATTTAGATATTTGATTTTAGAGTCAAATACTATCGGAAAAGAGGAACTTTTCACCTCATTCCGACCTCATCTCAAACAATGCTAGAATGGTCAATTAAAGGAAAATACTAAGAAGTTTACGAGCTCTTTTGATTTTCATTGCACTTGGACTATGACTCCCGAACAATCTCGTACATATGACGCAAGACGACTCTACATATCGAGGTCGAAAATGAGATCGGGTATTTTCACGTCTCACTGTAGTACTTGATATGTCTTGATTTTCGATTGTAAAAGGAAAAGAGAACTAATAGATTTTATTACTTGCACCCTAGGCTACGTGTCCGTTGGACTATTTGTTCGTCAGCAGCTTCGATCTCATCTTTGAGCTGAAAAATAATGTAAGAAACGAGAAATTTTTTAAGATAAAAAATTTCATCCTTGAGCCGAGAACGTTACTACGACTCCGATCGACGCATTTTTAATTTGACCGATGTTATTTATTTTTGATTTGACTATTGACCCTCTCCTTATCTTCAAAAGTTTGAATTGTTATTAAAATAATTATTGACTTTTTTCATCAAGAGAGCATTAAATGAATTATTTTATAAATTAATTGGATAATTATTTGACTTTTTAAAGTGTTAAACAACCAATACTGCTTTTATGAGTGAGTTTATTTGTTTATTTTTATTTTTATTTTTTCAAAATTCTGAAAGCTATATATATATAACCATTAATTTTTAGTTTTTAAAATTAAATGAAATGATAGATTTTATAGAATAAAACAATATATATTTTTTTTTGTGGGTTACGTGAAGAAATATTAATAGTTGTTTGTACGATGATCATTATTTTATAATTAAACAACTAATTTATTGCTTTTATTTAAAAAAATGTAATTAGTGTTTTAAGTCAATAAATCAATATATCATTTTGGTCTAAATCAAATTTTTGTTTGATTTTTGTAATTTTGTCATATTTTAACGGTCTATCAATAAATCAAATATTAACCTTCAATGTTTTACGTTAGTTGAACTATAATATTTAAATTTATATTCACAAGTTTAATAATTTTTTTTATTAAATTAATAAAATTTTTGGTAAATTATGTACTTTATTTAAAAAGATATCTCTAAACTTTCGGTAAACTTTACAAAAAGTTTAAAAGATACATTTACCATTAATTTTAAAGGTAAACCGTGAATATTTTGTTTCGAACATATTCTTTAACTTTTAATTTTTCATTAATATCCTTATATTTCTTTATGAAAATTTTAAAAATATCCTTCGTGAACTATTAGGTTAGTAATCGAACAAGTTTAAAACTTTTTGAAAAAAAATAAAATAAAAGTATTAATATAAATTTTACGATTTTACGAGTATTTTTTAAATGTTTTATTTTTTTTAACTTATACATACGAAGTTTATAAATAAGTTTTAATATTATTTTTTAAACAAAGTATTAATAATTTTCATCAAATTTAACGTTAATTTTTTATAGTTTTTTTTTTTTTAATTTAAGGATATTATTGTTTTATTTTTAGACAAAATGCAAAAATCACGAGTATTTTTATTAATATAATAACTTTTTAAAGTAAAACTTAATTCTTACTTCTAAATTTTAGGGTTTATCAATTAAAACCCTAAATTAACAATGGTATAAATTTAAATTGAATCAATTTAGAATCAATTTAGACTCTGTATTGAAAATTGTCCCAATTTCCACTCCGATCTATTGGTCATAAAATAAAATAAAAAATAAAAAATAAAAAGTAAAAAAAAACAAAAAAAAAAAAAAACAAAAAAGAAATTGTTCATAGTTTTCCACTTGATTTGAAGGTCCTGCAACAGTCTTCAACCAGGTCTCCAATTCGTTGTATATATTTTATGGTGTAATTTTGAACGCTACTAAGCATTGACCAAATTCCGCCGAGTCCTTTTTTGATCATTTCCAAATGAATCATAACCGAGTAGGGAGGACTTTCCTTTTTTCCCACGCCTGGACCAATTTCTTGTCTCAATGGTGGCTCATCGATCGGTCGTCAACAGGCTGCAATTTAATACTCCTAATTTGCCCATGAACGTTTCAAACCCGCGGCCTTCTTAACCCCGCACCCTTCCCCCAATCCCCACTTGACCCACTTGGGATTATTCTGCGATTCTCTTTGGATTCTGTTTAGCCAAATGAAGTTTCGATCTCTTCTTTCTACTTGTTGTTCTTCTCGATCGCTTAATGCTATGGAAAATAGCTGGCACGGTGAGCTTTTCTTCTGTTATTTGTTGAGTTTTTGCGGAGTTTGTTATCAAATCAAACCCCCCTTTTAATGGTTTGCTCGAATCAGAGCAGATAGACAAGATAATGAGGGGGTTCGTGTGTACTCTTACAACGAGCTTAAATCGGCCACCAATGGGTTTAGTGCGGCAAATAAGGTGGGAGAGGGCGGATTCGGCTCCGTTTACAAGGTATTGCCATGCCCCTGTATCAGGCTTTTTTGTTTTTGTTTTGAATGCCCGTAAGGTGTCTGATAAAATGCCTGAATGGGGTTGACTTTGAAAAGGGTCGGCTTCGTGATGGCAGGAAGATTGCTGTGAAGGTGCTCTCTGTTGAGGTTGAATCTATGAGGGGTGAAAGGGAATTCATTGCTGAATTGACTTCACTTTCTAATATCAGACATGAAAACCTTGTTGTGCTTAAAGGGTTTCATGTTGATGGATGTCAAAGATACTTGGTCTATGATTACATGGAAAACAACAGCCTTGCTCATGCTCTTCAGGGTAACTAAACGCATTTTCTTAATGATTTATATGAATTTGTAACTTGATTTGAGCTGTGATTAGAAAAGACAATGGTTTCTGAACTTAGATTATGCTTCTAAAATCTTCATCAATAGGTGTGGGGGAAAATAGAATGAGACTTAGTTGGCAAGCCAGAAAGGATATTTTGATTGGAGTAGCTCGTGGGCTTGCCTATCTTCATGAGGAAGTCAACCCGCATATAGTTCATAGAGATATAAAAGCTAGCAATATTCTTCTCGACCATAATTTTATGCCTAAACTTGCGGATTTTGGATTGGCGAAGTTGTTTGGAGAGAACCTTTCTCATGTTAGTACTCGTGTTGCTGGCACAATGTAAGTCGATGTTTCTATCAATACGTTTGAATATGTTAATTACTTTCAGGAAACAACTGCTGATCTGATAATCGAAAAACAGCGGATATCTTGCTCCTGAATATGCTGTTAGCGGGCATTTGACACGAAAATCAGATGTCTATAGCTTCGGAGTGTTGTTGTTGGAGATTGTCAGTGGGAGAGCAACTGTCGATTTTGATATGGAACGTGGCGAACACCACTTGGTTCAGAAGGTAAGATAAAGAAACAATGTTGCATTTGAGGAATCAAATTGTGTTTGGAGGTTGCTTGGTCCGATTTCATGGTATTTTGTGATTTTCAGGTATGGGATCATTACAACACGAACGAGCTAGTAAAATTGATAGACCCGACACTTGACACAAACATCCGGGAAGAAGAGGCTGTTCAGTTTATGAAAATTGGCCTACTGTGTGTGCAAGAAAACACAACGAAACGACCACGAATGTCTGTTGCTGTAAGTATGTTGATGAGGGAGACCGACGTTAAAGATCATAAGATTTCACAACCAGGACATATTATCGACTTCATGGACATTAAGATGGATAAAGGAACTTCATCAACCAGTATTTTCTCAAAGGTTTCAACACCAAATAGCATGTAAAGCATTGCTCATCTCAGGGTAAATGATTCTGATCCCAGTTGGAGTCTTTTGAATTTAGTGTGTGTACATAGAGAATTTGGTAGAAGCTCTTACATTGTTTTTCCACCCAAAAGTTCATTGAGGGTTGGTATCATAGCATGGGTGAATAACAGAGATATGTGCAGAGTTTTGTTTCTTTCTTCCTTTTTTGTTCATTTGAATTGCTGAATTCCATTCTTTTGGTCTCTGTCACCCAAAATCTGTAGCTTCATAGATTGACAATTTGAAGAGCAAAATCATACTGACAGTCGATTATGATCCTTGTTTAGTACAAAATCTTCTAAGTAACTAATCTGAATTGTGTAACAGCATAAGTCCACCGCTAATAGATATTGTCTACTTTGGTCCGTTACGTATTGTCGTTAGCCTCATGGTTTAAAAACGTGTCTGGTAGGGAGAGGTTTCCACACTCTTATAAAGAATGTTTTGTTCACTCTCTCTAACCGATGTGGGATCTCATAATCCACCCTCTTTAGGGGCTAGCGTCTTCGTTGGCACACTGCCTAGTGTTTGGCTCTGATACCATTTATTACAGCCTAAGTCTACCACTAACAAATATTATCTTCTTTGGACTTTCCCTTCTAGGCTTCCCCTCAAGGTTTAAGATGCGTTTACTATGAAGATGGCTATCTTTACTCCGACCAGTGCCTCTCACCATCCGGTAATCTGGCTCTGATACCATTTGTATTAGTCCAAGCCAACCGCTAACAGATATTGTCCGTTTTGGCTCGTTGCGTATCGCTGTTAGCCTCATGGTTTTAAAACGCATCTGTTATGAAGAAGTTTCCACACTCTTATAGAGAATATTTTGTTCTCCTCTCCAATCAAAGTGGAATCTCACAATCCACCCTCCTTTGGGGCCCAGCGTCTTCGTTGGCATACTGCCTGGTGTTTGACTCTGATACCATTTGTAACAGTTCAAACCCACTGCTAACAGATATTGTCCTCTTTTGGTTTTCCTTTTTGAGCTTCCGTTCAAGGTTTTAAAACACGTCTACTATGGAGAGGGTCTAGCCCTACTCCGTACAGTGTCTCGCACCGTCTGATAACCTGTTCTAATATCATTTGTAACATCTCAAGCCCACTGCTAACAGATATTGTCCGCTTCGGCCTGCTACGTATCGCTGTCAGTCTCACGATTTTAAAACGCGTCTATTAGAGAGAGGTTTCCACATTCTTATAGAGAATGTTATGTTTCTCTCTCCAACCGATGTGTGATCGGTTTTTGTTCGGAAGATGGGAAAGAAAAGATTTAGCATTTATAGAGAGTTTGTATGTTACAGAGGTTTGAGTCAGCCCTCCATGGAGTACTCTTTGTGCATTGACCTTTTTAGAAACAAAAATTATAGCTTTTGAGCGGTCAACCATGAAAGTAAGAGACAGAGATTGGTCTTTCTAATTCAAAAAGCAAAAGAAGTTGCTCTCTATCTTAATCTCTAAGGCTATGCCTCTTTTCCATGTTAACTTCATCAGCAGCCATTGATGTTTAGATATAGTGACTAGTATTTGTCGATATTGTAACATTCCAAGCCTACTGCCAGTAGATATTGTCCTTTTTTGGGCTTTCCTTTTCGGGTTCCCCCTCAAAGTTTTTAAAACGCGTCTATTAGGGAGAGATTTTCACACTTTTATAAAAAAAATGCTTCGTTCCTCTCTTCAACTGATATAGGATTTCACAATCCACCCTCCTTCGGGGCCCAGCATCCTTGCAGACGCTCATTCCCCTCCCCAATCGATGTGAGATCTCACAATCCACCCCCTTTGGGACCCAACATCCTTGCTGGCACTCGTTCCCTTCTCAATCAAAGGTGGGACCCCTCAATCCACCCTTTTTCGAGGTCCAGTGTCACAATCGCGGTTTCTAGGCAGAGGATTTGGCGATTGTGCAGCACCCACTCTCAGCACTGAGTGGGTCAAGCCTACTTCGAGTTACATTGCCTGCGTTCAGGCAACGTGAATACAAACCTCGAGTCTCGATTTCAAGAGAAGATTTTAGAAAGCGGGTGAGAGGGGATTTGGAAAGAGAGTTTTGAAAGCAAGAGAGAGAAATTGAAATTGGTGTTATATGGGAATGTAAGCAAAATGCAACAACAACGGCTTACTGCATATAACTATCGGGTAGGGAGAAGTTGACAACTAGTCATATCCCCTATAGTACATTTTGAGACATTTCATGTCTACCAAGCGTAGTCATGACATTGCCGAAATAAAGTAGTACAAGGCAAAGGTTTCGGCGTGTTACGGGTGACACAATCGCACTTTCGAAGGCAGCGGACTAGCGATTGTGCGGCACTCACTTTCCAGCGACAAGTGAGCTAAGCCAATTTGTTCTTGCGTCGCCTACGGCCAAGCGACGTACGATCGAGCCTCTAGCCTCGGTTTTAAATGAAGGTTTTAGAAAACGAGGAGAGAGAGAGATTTTAGAAAGAGAGATTTTGGAAAGAGACGTTATATAAGCAAGCAAGAGAAAGATAACAACGGCTTAGCATATATAACTTTGGGTAGGGAGAAGTTGACAACTAGTCATATCCTCTGTAGTACATTCTGAGCCATTTTAAGTCTGACAGACCTAGACATGATATTTTTGAGGCGTCATACGCTTTAGAATTACAAAAGGAAAAACACTAGAATGAAAAGACATGACAAGGGTTTGGCTTGTCATGGGCATGCGGCCATGGGCAACACGCCCTGGACGAGCATGACTGTGACATCCTCCCCCACCTAATTGGTTGACGTTCCTGTCAACCGACTACTTTCAAACCTTGCGATGTGGGTGGCGGCGGAGTTCAGATCTTCGGCACGTTCCCAGCTGGTTTTCTCTGTAGGGAGATTCTTCCATTTGACAAGGAATTCACGAATCGTCCGTACAGGTCTTCCTATCTTCCTAACCCTGTCGGCTAGGATCTCTTCTACTTCTTTTGTTTCTTTTTGCTTCAGATCGATGCTTGGTCTTGTGGTTGTATTCCGTTGGTCGTCGTCTGGGTCAGGGTGATAGGGCTTCAAGTTGCTCACATGAATTACTGGGTGGATTTTCATCCATGTGGGTAGTGCAACTCGGTAGGAGGTAGCCCCGATCTTTTTAAGGACTTCAATCGAGCCTTCATATTTTCGAACTAGTCTCTGGTCCTTTCGACTGCGAAATCTGATCTGTTCTGGTCTCAACTTGATGAGAACTTGATCTCTTGCTCGGAATTGAAGGGGGCGACGCTTCTTGTCCGCCCACTTTTTCATATGCTTGGAAGCCTTCTCTAAATATGCTCGGGCTATATCTGTCGTCTGCTTCCATTCTCTTGTAAAGTTGTGAGCTTGAGGGTGTTTTCCTGCATAAGGATGATCAATAATATGGGGTAGGGTCGGTTGTAGTCCACTTACAATTTCGAAGGGACTCTTTCCCGTAGACGAGCTTGTTTGACAATTGAAGCAAAATTGGGCGACATTTAACAGTTGTATCCAGTTCTTCTGGCGAGCGTCGACGAAGTGACGTAAGTATTTTTCGAGCAAGCAATTGAACCGTTTTGTCTGTCCATCGGTTTGAGGGTGATAACTTGAGGAGATGTTCAAGGTTGTTCCCAAGAAGGCGAATAACTCAGTCCAGAATGTCCCAATGAATCTGCCATCCCTATCACTGATGATGCTTGACGGAATGCCCCATAACTTTACAACGTGTTTGAAAAATAGTTGGGCGGTGAGTTCTGCAGAGCATAATTTTGGAGTGGGGATGAATGTCGAATATTTTGAGAATCGGTCTACGATAACCAAGATGGCGTCATATTCCCCGACTTTTGGGAGGTGTGTTATGAAGTCCAGAGATACACTTTCCCAAGGTCTTGTTGGCACAGGTAGAGGTTCCAAGAGTCCTGGGACTTTGGTTTTCTTGACTTTGTCCTGTTGGCAGATGAGGCACGTCTTGGTGTATTGCATGATGTCGTCTCGCATGTTCGGCCAGAAGTACCCCTTCTTTATTAGGGCGTATGTTCTTTGCCACCCTGGGTGTCCGGCCCATAAGGTATCATGACATTCCTGAATGAGCTTCTTCCTCAGTTCTCCCATTCTTGGGACATACAATTTGTTTCCTTTGGTCATCAGGAGATCTCCCTCAACCCAAAACTGTCGTGTTTTTCCAGCTTTAGCTAGTTCGACGACGGCTTTGGCAGATGGGTCTTTATGTAACTGTTCCTTGATGATGCCGCGCATCGATCCATCGATCTTACTTGTATGAATATGGGCTAACATGCACAGGGCCGCATGTTCGCCCTTTCGACTCTGCGCGTCGGCTGCTTGATTACTCTTTCCTGCTTTGTGTCGAACTTGAAGTCGAATTCGGCCAACTACTCCTGCCACCGGGCTTGTTTTGCCGTTAATTTTGGTTGATCAAAGAAGTGGCAAATGGCGCTGTTATCCGTCTTCACTACGAACTGTGAGCCTAAGAGATACTGTCTCCAGACTCGAAGGCAGTGGACTACAGCCAACATTTCTTTCTCGGAGACAGTGTATCTCCGTTCGGCATCGTTGAGCTTTCGACTCTCGTAAGCGATGGGGTGGCCTTCCTGAATGAGGACCCCACCTAGAGCAAAGTCGGAAGCATCTGTTTCTATTTCACATGGCTTTGTGACATCTACCAACCCGAGGACAGGACCCCTCGTCATGGTTGTTTTAAGATTTTCAAAGGCCATTTGACAATCGTTCGACCACGACCAAGGGTGGTCTTTCTTCAACAGCTTTGTCAATGGGGCGGCTCGTCGTGAAAACCCTTCGACGAACCGCCTATAGTAATTGGCCAATCCTAAGAAGGACCGCACTTCGGATACGGAAGTAGGAACTTTCCATTCTTGGATAGCTTTTATCTTGTCGCTATCCATACTAATTTGTCCACATTTGACGACATGTCCAAGGAAGTTGATGCATGTTTGTGCGAATGCACATTTCTCCTTCTTCACATACAGTTGGTTCTGCCGTAGCTTGTCAAACACCAGCTTCAAGTGCACTTTGTGTTCCTCTAGGGTTGTGCTGTAAACAACGATGTCGTCGAGGTATACTATGACGAACTGATCCAAGTATTCGTAGAAAACCTGGTTCATCAACGTGCAGAACGTAGCTGGGGCGTTTGTCAAGCCAAAGGGCATTACTAGGAATTCAAAGGCCCC